AGGTGGGCTGTTCGGGGTCTCAGGTGGGCTGTGCAGAGTTTCAGGTGGGCTAGAGGGGTCTTAGGTAGCCTGTGGGGGTCTCAGGTGGGCTGTGCGGAGTCTCAGGTGGGCAGTGCGGAGTCTCAGGTGGGCAGTGCGGAGTCTCAGGTGGGCAGTGCGGATTATTATTATTAATAATGTTTTCATTTTATTTAAATCTTTCATTTTAATTTCTTTACTTTTTAACTTTTATTTATTTTAAAGGGTTATTAAACCCTCCGGTTTTTTTTCCATATATCTACTGCTAGTAAGCAGTAGATATATGCAAAAAGTGTAAAAAAAAATAAAACGATTTGAAAAGGGTTAATACTTACCTCTGTCTTCCCCGCACGCTACCATCCGCTGATGAGCAGGAGATGAGCACAGATCCTCAGCAGGAGATACACCAGCCATGCTCTAGAGGCCCTCTATGTTCCAGGCACCTCCAGCAGACATCAGCTTCCTTGGTTCTCCTCCTCTGGTAAAAGCCCAGGCCTCCTCCATACCCAAGGTCTAGGGAAACTCTTCCCATACGCCAACCTCTGCCCAACCTAGGCCTCAGGCCTAGCCTAGGGGGTGGCTGGACAGCACCCAGTCCTAATCCATGGCTGGTCCCTCACTAGTCTCAACTGAGCACATGGCAATTTCCTCCAGTATGTGTACCCTATTCCAACATGCACTGCTGGTTGAGAGAAACCCAGTGATTGGCTGCTGCACTGTACATACACTTACAGTGTCCCTCATTGGCTGTCTCACAATACAGTAGGGGGGTACAGTCAATGCTAGACACCTGGAATGAAACCAGGTAAATGCCACTCTAATCCAGCCTGGCAATCACTAAATGTCTAGTAGCCACCTCACAAAAGGTGATGGGGGCTACACCATCATTTTTGTTATTTTTCAAGAAAACCATGAAGGCCCCCCCTATTCTGGGGGGTCTCAAGGATCTTCTGAACCAGGCATCTCTCAGCACTCTGGCCCTGGACCAGCAGCACCTAGCTCTCTAGCCAGCCCTAGACTCACACCTCAGGCTCAGCTCGGACCAGCTTCCTGTTGAAAAATCTGGCTGCCCTTGTCCCCCTCGGCCATGTTATCGATTTTACAGAGGACCAAGGCTAGGGAAGTGGGGGCCAGCTGGACCGATGTGACCCGGGACATGCTGCCGAGCTCACAGTGCAGTGCACAGCACACGTCGCGCAACTGCCTGTGAGCATCAAGATTTATCTGCAGAGGACCGGCTCCACACATCGGCCCTGACAAGAGGAAACGTCAGTGTTGGGGCCGGTCCCTCTTCTTCGTTTCCAGCCCCCCCCCCCAAGTGGCGGAACGCCAGGGCCCGGTTGCAAATGCGACCGCTGCAACCCTAGTAGTTACACCAGTGATCTTAGAATAAAAATCTGGAGGCTGGCTTCACACCTTTGCATTGTGGTAATGTCAATCCCCAGCGCCATGTGTGAACTGCATTGGTGTGTATTGTGGTAAAATGTTGCAGGCACTTTTTTTTTTTTTTTTTTTTTTTTTTTTTTTTTTTTTTTGCAGTGCAGCATGTTACAATGTGTGACAATGCGTCCTACCATGCTGCCATGCATAGAGTTGAATAAATTCAATTTTAAAAAAGTAATAGGAAAAAAATCAAGCACTATGCATCTATGCAGTGCCATAATGCATCTGTGTTGATGCATGATTTTACACTCGTTAACATGTTTTGCGTTAGGGCAGCCTATTAATATTTTAAATGAATGGCTGTAGTCAGATTTATAATAAATGGGTGATCACAAAAATTCTTTAGTCAGAATTTTGTAGGTTGAATTTGATGGACATATGTCTTTTTTCAACCTGACTAACTATGCAACTATGTAACGGTCTCGGGGACCTTTCTGTTATACGTTCATGGCCGCTGTAGCGACCATAAGCTTACATCAAACGGAATTGCAGAGGACATAAGGCTTACTGAGCCAGCCAACTGGAAGCAGTTCTGTTACAATGTAAGCCTTTTGTCCTTGGGCAGTGAAAGGGTTAACAAAGAATAGTAGACTAATAAAATAGGTTATTACCCAGCATGCTGGCAATCACCCACAACAAATTAGGCTTCACTTCAGTAATACCTCCCTTGTCACTGGCATGTTCCTGGCATGAACAGTCTCCACCATTGGCTGGATCCTCTGCCAACAGCCTGTTGCTGCACTACCATTCTAATATTTCTGGGACATATGCCTGGTAATTGAGGACAACTATACTTTGGGGAAGGGTAAAAATGGCTAAAAAAACACAGTTTCAAATTCCACTCATCCTTAGTCACGTTGACGCTAACAGACAGTATTAAAACAGGACAAACAGTATTAAAATACTTATGACCAAAAACGTACAATTCTTCTGCGGTATGATGTGTGGGTAAAACACCAGATGATGTGATAGTCTACAATAGTCAGGATTAGTCCAATAAATGTGAATATTGATGTAATGATGTTCAAGGCCAAGGAGCCTTTCACCTGCAAAAGAGAGAAATACCTTACAAAATGTTTTAATAAATGCACAAATGTGGGCAGATATAACATATATATTCAGACATATATTCAATCTGATTAAGCAATCCTTAAATGTAGGCTTAAATATCTGGCTTCATATTAACTTTGCAGATTGTTGCACAAAGTGATTCAGAGAGAGGAAGGGGAGAACTGTAAGCTAATCAGACTTTACTAAATTACATAGTACACTACACAAGGTGCTAGATAATAAGAGGGGAAGGCACAGGGGTGATCCCATTACTGTGCTGCTGTATTTCACTATCCAATCCTTCACTTGTATTGCATTAACTGTAATAGAAAAAAATCAGGTCAAAACCTAGATGTGATGTCTGATGGGGAATATGGCTATATCTGAGACAGTAACAGATCTCACCAGGTACACATCCTTATGTCTGGATATTAAAGGAGTGTTTTTCCCCATAGTTCTCTTAGGGTCACAGGAGGACAAAAACTAGCATCCTCCCGTGACCCAAAGCTCAGTATATAGCGAGCTACAGCTTGCGGTATACTGAGAACGCCGCAGCAGGGACTGATCCTGACAATGCTGTTGAGATCCACCCAGCTGCGTGAGTGACAGCTGGCTCTGCCTATCTAGAGGCAGAGCCAGCTGTACCCGCCCCCTCCCCCGTCCATTCCTCCAGTCAGTGTTTGGAGGATCGGAGTGGGAAGGGGGAAATCCCTGCATGGAGCCGTGACTGACAGTCACCGCTCTCTGCAGGAAGATGATCGAGAAGTGAGCGAGCGACGCTATGTGTTCGCTCACTTCCCGAACTATTGAGCCGACGTGTGACAGTTTCATTGTCACGCGTCGGCTCGAACTATGAGGATGATTGTTTTGCACTCGCCTCATAGTTCTCCTTTAACATTAGGAAAGTGCTTTATAAAAGTTGCCAAAAAAACAGGAATACTCTTAAAGAATCAAATGTTGATGGCCACCAGATTCTATGGCACCTATGTTACCTGGTGGAACGTGCTGCCATTGGGGATATGGTTTTATATGTACTTTCCATGGATGGTAGGCTGCTACCACTAACCTTCTAAACTAACACAGATATGTCAAAAAATATATAATTTAAAAATTCCCTAAATTACATGCTAGTTAATAGTAAACAAGTGCATTTGTTCTAAACATTTTTGACATTTGCATGGGTTTGAATGTCCGAATAAAACAAATAACAAATGCAAACGTATCCAAATTTTTGATAACGAACATTTTGATGCATCCGGATTTTGTTCCAATGTCATTAGTAATGTTGTTAAACCTGAAAAAAATAATAATAATAAAACAATGTGAAGTCCCCCCCCCCTGGACCCCGTGCCAAAAAAAAAATATATATGCATGATGTCACCCCTAAAATCCCTTACCAAACCCGTGCAGGAAATGGGGGGATGCTCGAACACCCTCCTCCTGCAATATTCCAGGTCACATGCCCCTCAACATGGGGAGGGGAGGGTACTTTGACAAGGGGCGAACCCCCTGGCAAAGCAACTTCTCCCCATGTTGATGAGGACAAGGGCCTCTTCCCCACAACCCCGGCCCGGTGGTGGTTAGGGTCTGCAGACCCTATACTCCCCCCCCCCTTTGAATGAGTTACCAAATATATCGTAAATAAACACACCACACCGTGTTCAAAAGTCCTTTATTTGAAGGGGGGGAAAAAGCACACAACAAAGGGGAGGAGCGAGTAGTGACATCACAAGACTTGTTCTGCCCCTTTGTTTACATTCAGTGACAGCCCTGATGGGATTTTTTTTT